CCTCTGTCTCTTTGGTACTTCCTCAACCAAGGCTTACCAACAAAACATTCTGCAGCAGGGTGGTATCTGTGATACCAAACTCTTTTTCTAGCCTTGAACTAATGGACTAGCGGGATGGAAAAGAGCAGGCTGGGAGATGCACCCCTCCAAGAGCTCCTGGAACAAAGCGGCTTCATTGAGCAGCAATTATTACATTATCTCCATAAATATTTTAACTTCTCAAGCAAAGCAAGGAGGAAATAACTCTTCAGGGTGGAATTAATAAGACCAAACCTCATTAAATCTCCCTAGGACAGACTGACAAATGTTTTAATAAGACAATGGGAAGGATTCCTTTGGAGCTGGTCATCTTAATGACTTGTTTTTGCAGCGCCAAATAAGACATTTGCTAGAGGAGAGCCCAAGGGATTGCTGAAAAACCTCTGAGCACGGGTGTTTCAGACCGGGCTCCTGAGAGCAGATGTCACAGCTGGGTTGGCAAAAGGCCAGAGTTAGTTAAGTGGGGGAAGAAAAACCCGCTGTTGTTTTAATTACAGAGCTATTGGGCTTACTGGCCTGCCAAAAAGCATCAGATCTCCACGGACACCCTAATATTCCTCTGCACCAGCTGGCGTAGCTTTGTACCCAACATCCAGCCGTCCAACGAATCTTGATGAAGGGTGTTAAACTGATTCATATGAATGTGGGAATCACCAGTATGATTTTTCCTAAATCTGAACCAAGATTATAGACTGCAGTTAGGTCATAAGATTCCAACATTTAACTAGGCATACTCTCACAGCTTTATATTCTAGACCTGGAGCCAGTCTGCATGAGCAGACAGCACTCGGCATAGCCTGCACCTTCGTACAATTTTCCAAAAGGAGCAGGCTCCCATGCTTGGGAGAGCAATCTGTTCACACGAGGCATAGGAAGGGTTGATCAGGGAATTGTTTGTCTTGGAGAGCAGCAGAAAAGTGGAGATGACTAGCAGCACGTTACCACATTTATTGGATGTATGGATTGAAATGGAAAAGCAGTGGTGTACTCTTTGCACCTCTGGAAAGGAAACTGAGCGTGGGATAAATAGCATGGAGTGGGTGTAAAATCAGGCAATGGGCTTGGAGCATCTGTGGGGGATGTGGTACGTGGTTTGAATGACTAGAGGAGAAGAGGCCAAGGCAGTGGTGTTGCAGATCTCACTGGAAAGGGACATTAATGGGCTATTACTGTTTCTTTGCAGTGCAATATGCTTGGAGCAACAGTGGGGGTCTCGACACGGGGACCTGGCTGCAGCCCCCAGCTCTGGCCAGCCCCTTGGCTTGGCAGGGCAAATCATGTCCCAGAAATCCCATTATTTAAAAGAATAACCCCATCAGCCACTTGAAGCAGCACACACAGCTCTGTGTTCAGTGGCAGCAGCTCCCAGAGGCCGGCAGGTCTGTAAATCCATGGGGAGGGACATAGCCCCAGCCCACAGGAACCGCTGCCCTCTGCCGAGGCAGCAATCAGTTCCCCACCTCCAGCAATCAGAGCAGGGCTGGGAGCGAGAGTTAATCAAAACCTATCTGTAATTATAGCAGAGCCTATTTGAGTGCCTGATTAATATATCAGTGCCTTCATTACGGGCAGGCTGCTGG